CGCCCCCCCCCCCCCCACACACACACATTTTTCATGCATGTCCTTTACTCTGCCTGCTGTAGATTTCAAACCCAGATCTGGGAGCTGAGCTCCAGAGGAGCTTGCATTCTCTGAAAGATGGAGAATCAACCCCGTTCCTGGGGCAGCCATTCCATGGCTAAAATTCACCACTTCTTCCCCCTCTGATCAGTCTGGCATCACCCCCAGCTGTCGGCTGGATTAAAAAGCCCTCTATGCATGTCCTTTACTCTGCCTGCTGTAGATTTCAAACCCAGATCTGGGAGCTGAGCTCCAGAGGAGCTTGCATTCTCTGAAAGATGGAGAATCAACCCCGTTCCTGGGGCAGCCATTCCATGGCTAAAATTCACCACTTCTTCCCCCTCTGATCAGTCTGGCATCACCCCCAGCTGTCGGCTGGATTAAAAAGCCCTCTGCTCCCTAAAATCTACTCCCTGCCTGGGAAGCTCTTCTAACTGGTTGGGAATAAATCCCATCTGAACCTTCCCTGGGAGAAACTGCCTCGCCCAAGCTCCTGCAGATTCATAGTCTCTAAGGCCAGAACAAATGCCCGTGATGTGCTAGTCCAGCCTCCTGTCTCATGCAGGCCAGAGAGCTTCCCTGAGTTAATTCCCATTCGCAGGGGAGCAGGTCAGTTAGAAAACCACCGAGTCTGGATTTAGAACGTGCCCGAGATGGAGACTCCCCCAAACTCTGTGAATTACTCTTCTGGTTAAAACCTGACACCTTAGTCCCAGTCTGGGTCTAGCTTTAACTTCCAGTGAGACTGTCCTCCGCCAGCCTGGAGAGCCCCCATCAAACAGGCGACTGACAGAGACTGGGATCAAATCACCCTGAACAGACGGAATTCCTTCAGTCTCTCACTAGTAGCTGTTCCTACCCTTTCATCATGTCCATGGCCCAGAGCCAGACGGCGGGTTTCAGCAACGGTCACACCCGTGCCAAACCCGGAAGTAGAACCACCTCTCCTCCGGCTCGGAGCAACTGACCAACGCCCTTCAGGAGCCAATCCACTTGAAATGCTTAATTCAGATTCACTTCCCTGCATCCCCATGTAGACAAGATCCCCAGGAATGACAATGCCCCAAGTCTGGAGGGAGGCCTGCCCCGCCCCACCACGGGCACCGGTTGTACCTACCACGGACACGTTGAGCGACCCCATGCTGCTGACTCCACCGAACACGCAGGAATGTCCCGGCATGCCACAGAACTTTATACCCAATATGGTATCAGGCCCAGTGGATGTTTTGATGTCAGTCAAGGCTTTGGCCCAAGCCGAAGTGCTGACCAGCCAGAGAAACGCAACCACCACGGTGATCACAAAGTCCTGCACAGAGAGGGGTGGGGTGGGAGTTACAAGACCAGGAGAGAAACACACAACAGAGGGGACAGAATCCCAAGCACATACAATAGCCATACTGAGCCCCACTGAATCCAAGGGAGCTATCGGCCCACTGGCTCTAGTTGAGATCTACCCCACTGACTCCAATGGAGCTATGGCCCATTCATCCTAGCTGGGATCTGGAACCATTAACTCCAATGGAGCTATGGCCCATTCACCCCAGCTGGGATCTGCCCCATTGACTCCAATGGAGCTATAGCCCATTCACCCCAGCTGGGATCTGGAACCATTAACTCCAGTGGAGCTACGGCCCATTCACCCCAGCTGAGATCTGGAACCATTAATACCAGCAGAGCTACGGCCCATTCACCCCAGCTGAGATCTGCCCCATTGACTCCAGTGGAGCTATGGCCCATTCACCTCAGCTGGGATCTGCCCCATTGACTCCAGTGGACCTTCAGCCCATTCACCCCAGCTGGGATCTGAAACCAGTAACTCCAGTGGAGCTATGGCCAATTCACCCCAGCTGGGATCTGGAACCAGTAACTCCAGTGGAGCTACGGCCAACTGGCCCCAGCTGAGATGTGGGCACTGGGCAGCCCACCCTGACAGGGGCCCCTTGTCTCAGACCCATGGAGGGAATCTGTGCAGTGCCTGGTACCCCCTCGAGGTGGTATGAGGAAAGCCTGGCCGGGCACTTGGTGCTCTCAAAACTCCTGTCTCCTTTTACTCTGCCATGAGCAAGGCACCCAGAGCAATCCGGCCGGCTCTCTGGCCAGTGCAGGGCTGAGTCCATGGCATTCCCACAGGCAGCCCAGCAGAGATGCTGCTCCCCGAGCTACAGGCATGCAGCGCCTGGTCTAGACTCCAGCATCAGGCTTGGGTTCCCAAAGGATCTCGATGCATTGAATTCCCATGGAAATCAAGCCACTAAGTAACTCACTAGGCCAGGCTGGAAATGCCGCTTGTTGCAAATGCTTCGGCCACTCAGAGGTGATGAAATTAATCCCTTCTCTTCTCAGCTGCATTATTCCTCAGGTGTTGTTATGGTAGCATCCAAGAGACCCAGCTGGGATCAGGGCCCTGTTGTGCCGGGCGCGGCCCAAACACAGCCAGAGACAGGCCCTGCCTCAAAAGACTTACAACATAAATAGACGGCGGAATGATCTTTATCCCCATGTTACAGATGGGGAAACTGAGGCACGGGGCAGGGCCATGCCTCACCCAAACTCAGTCTAAAGCCGAGTGCTGAAACCTGGTCTCCCACCTTCCAGCTTGATTTCTTACCACTAGCTCAGCCCTCCTCACTAAGGAAGAGGCAAACCCAGTTCTCACTGCCCCGGTAGCTTCATGGGAGCATGCCAGAGTGCAGGACAGTGCCCCCCAGATCTCACTGCCCCCCAGTGGGGGAGGCCTCAGTACTCGTGGGATGTAATTTTGATTTTCCCCTCCCCACGCCAATGACCCTCCCTCCCAGCCACTTACCACATTTCCCAGCCTTCAGAGGAGCCAGCGCAGCAGGGGGAGAAGAGAAAAGGGGCAGCTATTTATCGGGTTACAACAATCCTCTTCCACTCGCCACCCCTCTGCCCTCCGGAGCCGGGACCTTTGGTTTGCAGGCCAGCATGGAGCCAGGGCCCTGCGTCAAAGATCCGGTCTCACGGCCTCTTACATAGAGCCAGGATCCCGCCAGCAGGGGGAACCAGGAATTACTGATCCCATCGCAGGAATAGCTGGGCGGGGCCTACACCGGATTGAATCGGCACAGGACCAGTGGGCCAAATGGAGTGACGGCCACTAGTCCCAGCTGGGATCCAGTCCATTGACCCCACCTGGGATCCGGCCCATAAATGGAAGGTTAGTGTTCTGGGTACACAAAAACTGCTGAAAAACGTCATCAGAAAACAAAACCAACCAGCAGAACGTTTGACAAGGGCTGGGCAAAAGTGCCAACCAAAGGCAGATTTCTCTCCAAAGAAGCAAAAAACCCTTTCCTGCCTTGTAACCAGACATGAGAAAGCCAAGATGTGTATTACACAAAAACTTTTTTGTTGCAACTATCCTGTTTTGTTTCCTCTTTTTAAGGGAAAAATTTGTTTTTTTTGTTTTTAAAGAAAACTGAAGTTTTCCCCAATAAAAAAAAAAAAAAGGAAAAATTTTGCTCAACAATTTTAAATTTTCACTATTTTGTGGTGCTAATTTACAAAAATTTGTGTTTTGACAAAATCAAAATGATTTGTGCCATGCCTGCTTCCCACAGAGAATTTCAACTGTCCAGTGAAAACTGTACAATTTTGACAATGACCCCACAGTGCCTCATAGGAGCTGTAATCCTTAGTGCTTCAGAATCCCACTCTCCTCTAAGGAGCAGGTTCTCCGACCAGACTACATCTCCCATGAAGCACCATGAACAAGGATGAGTCTGACAATTGCCACAAGGGGAGAAAGTGGTGCATCGTGGGAGATGTAGTCCAGCCACAGAGCCCAGCCCATTGAAGAGAACAGGATCCTAAGGGTCACAGGACTACAGCACCCAGGAGGGAGGCACCGCAATGTAGTTTTGGTCAAAATATTTCAGTGAAACGTCAAAATATTCCTATAATGAAAACAAATAAGCTCAAATCTTGTCTAAATTCTCCAAGGGAAATTCAACCCCCCCACCCCTCCAACCTCCCCCCCCCCAGCTCCCAATGCCTCTGCCAGAGCAAAGAGTAACATGCCACTTACCACCATGGGCAGCTTGCCCGCACCGCGGTAAAGGTGCAGGTACCCCACGTACAGCACGAGCGCCACCATGCAGTAGAGGAAGACGAAAACAGCGAAGGTGACAAAGAACTGGGCCGAGGAGGAGAAGTCACCCACAAGATGGGTCTCATTCCATGTGTTGTTACATTTTGTGGATTCCAGGCCTTTGAACAAAACTGTGTTCAGCCTGCAGGGGGGAGACAAAGAGAAGCTTGAAGACTTTCACCTCGACGCCAGCAAGACAAAGCACTGGATCTCTGGGGTGAAAGAGCCATTTCTGCCCTCCTGCATAGCCCAATCCAGAGAAACCACTCCAGGGATCCCTGCCTCCAGGCCAGATCTCGGAGTGGAGCACCTTTAACTCCACCCTCTTGTATGTATTCCCTTAACTCCGCCCCTTGGTAGATTTCAAGTTCATATCTGATGGTGGAGTTAGAGGGGCGCTCCTAAAGAGAGATGCCTGGTCTCAATGGAAGGACTCCATGGGATTTAGAACCTGCCCCATCCCTAGGGCAGTCGTTCCAAGCGTCAATTCTCCTCCTAGTTAAGAATCTGCCCCCTTATTCCTAGTCTAGCAGTGTCCCCCAGCCGTCGGCTCTTGCTCTGCCTTTGTCAGCTCGATTCAAGAGCCCTCTGCTGCCCAAAATCTTCTCTTGGGGGAGCTGCTGACAGCCAGGGGTCAAATCCCCTCTGAATCTTCCCTTCACCCCACCCTCCCAGGAAGCCGGCGCTGGCTCCAATCTTGCGGGGGTGTGATGCTGGATCGCCAGCAAGGACTGGGGTCAGGGTGTCTCGGGAGGATGGGGGGAGGGAGAGGGCTCAGGGAAATGGGCGAGGCGGGGGTAGGCGATTTTGGGGTGTCCGGCCCATGGCGCCCTCGCCTGCCTGCCAGTGAAACAAGCCCCCAAAGAAGCCGCCTGCCATGCAGCCCCGCCGGCTGGGCCACGCGGCTGCCACGGAGCAGGAGCCAGGGCCATGGTGAGGCTGCCCCAGCATTGACAGGCTCACCATGTCCCGGCTCCAGCTATGGCACACGGGGCAGCCACCCGCTGGTCTGGCTGCGTGGCTGCCGCTGAGAAGGACCCCCCCTGCCCCCGACACCACTTGCCTTCCAGCAGGAAGGTCAGTGCTGCTCCTCTGCGAAGGAGGGGGGCACACACTTTAGAGGGAACTCTGCTGAGCTCCCGCCCTGGCCCATGGGTGTGCCACTCAAAATCGGCTCACATGCCGCAGCACACTGCCAAGCCCTGCCTTAGATCATTCCTACCACCCTTCTCTGACCCCTCCCTGCTTTCCTGATGTCCTGTTTGACACACGGCGCCCCAGAGCTGGGCGCAGTCCCCAGCACTGGCTCCCCACTGCCGAACTGAGACATCATCCCTCTCCACGGACACAACCCTTAAGATCCAACTGCAAAGCTCACGATAGGTGGGGCTTTTCCTTCCATCCCCAGCTCCCAGAGTCCCGGTATTTGTGGGAGATGCTCAATTCAAAGGACTTTTCTCACCTTCACGGTTGGGGGCAAGTGGGATGGGAAACGAGACCTTTGGAAGCTGAGAAGCAGGAGGGGAACAGACCCAGACAGTCGCTGGTTGCTTGTTAAAAACAACCCATGATCTTTAGCCAGTCCCAGGGGTGTTTCGTTTCCAGGGGTTGGGAGAACGCCGAGGAGCGAAGGAGGAAGTAAAAGTCATGTGGGAATGATTCATGAGGGCCCACTGTGATCCTCCAGCCTCCCGCCCATGTCACACTGGCCAGGGAACAGCCCTGAATTAATTCCTGTGAGCACCGAACTCCAGAACTGCAGGCCTGGCCAAAGCATCCCAGCAGCGGTTGCAGGTTC